TTTAACATTTTAAACATATGTAAAAGAAATAAAGCTTATATTTTATATACTTTAATTAAAATAACAGGTTGTTTATACGTAGAAAATAAAAACGGCTAAGAATTGTAAATAATGCAACGTCTTCAAAAGGAAAAAGCTACAAGATTCTCTACAGCACAGATGTAACGGTAATGAAGTTGCCACTTCTACTGCACTCTTTATATATACTTGGAAAATACCCACCATAGAAAATTTTCTTCTTTTTTTATCAAACATTTTCCTTTAAAAGTAATATTTAAATTTATGTTTGCTATTTTAAATGGCCACAAGGGACGTAAAAGTATTGCGTTCTTTCTAACCGGCGGATGTTTTTCTTTTATGCAGCAGAGAATTAAATTACTTTAGTCCTTAATCGTTTTATTATACATATTTAAAATTAAATATAAAGTATTAGGAAGGAAAATATATCTTTTTTATATAGCTATATAGTTTAAGTAGAAATTAAAGAATGTAAGAAATATTTCAATGAACAGTTCCGAAATTACATTTTTCAAAGAAATCAAAATTTTCTGTCTTTTACTAGATCATAAACTGAAACAGAAAAATCAAATAGGAAAATTGAAACAGAAATGCAATAAAAGAATGAACATCTTAAAAAATGTTTCCCTAAAGAATTTTTCTGAACATCCGAAAACTATGCTAACTACATTCAGAACTCTGGGAAGGCCGAAACTAGACTATGGATGCATCATATATTCTTCTGCTTCAAAAAGCCTCCTAAATAAGCTAGTTTCCATTCAGAACACAGCACTGAGACTTTCAATTGGACCATCCAGAACAAGAACACCAACTGCATTACTGAGTGAAATGGGAGAATCGTCCTTGAATCATAGAAGAAAACTTCTCGTTCTTCGTTATGCAGCCAAAATTCTGAGTATGGCGGAGCACGATAATTCTGATATTCTGTATAAATCTGATTTCGATTTTTCTATTGGTACGGAAATACATAAAAGTCGAATAGAGTTTTGAATAGTCCATTGAGTATGCAATTACAACACATATAGTTAATGTATTCTAGAAAATAGAAGATATTCCACAATGGACAATTCCATCAAACAAAAATGAAGTGGAACTAAACAATGTTCCGAACAACACTGCCCCAGAAGAAATTAGATATAGGTAGTATGAAATGGTCGATACATTATTTCATGATCATGAAATAATTTTCATGGATGGTTCAAAACCAGAGAAAGGTGTTGGATGCTGTATCGCAGCCCAAAACAATATAAACAAATGAAAATTAAATAACCTTAATTCTATTTTCACAAGCGAAACGTGGGCGATTCTCAAGGCATTTGAATACCTAATCAACACCAACATTGAAAAATCAGTCCTTGTGACCGATTCCTTATCTGTAACCAAAAGACTGCAAAATGCATGGACATGTAACTCATTGCACAAAAAAATTGAACTCATAAACTTGAAAATAATTCAAAATAGTCTAGATATTATATTGTTTTGGGTACCCTCACCCACTGGCATAATTGACAATGAACGAGCCGATGAAGGAGCAAAGGAAGCCGCCAGATGCACAGATTCACCGGTTTCAGAATCAATGTTTCTCAACGAATGGAAAACAGAAATTTCAAAGAAAGTGAACGACAATTGGAATGCATAGTAGAGATTACTGGCACTCAATCACCTTCGTTTGACCAAAACATCTGATATCAGAAGAATATTCTATAATAAGCAGACTCAGAATTGGACATAACAAACTGACCCATCTCCAGCTACTTCTTGGCCTACTTCGACCAACATGTGAGGCATGTGAAAGTGCCTATCTGGCCATTGAACACATATTTCAGTGCTAAAAATTCTGGAAACTGTCAATTGAACTCCAAATCGATAACAAAGCACCATACAAAGAAAACAGTGGTATTGAAAAACCACTAAAGAAAATTCGACAAATAAAATTAATAAGTTATATCTAAGAAGAAAGATCGTCGCTAATGAAAAAAATTTAATAATAATACTAACGCTTTATTTATTCTGGGATAAGTCTCTTTAGAACAATGTACAGAGATAGAAATGTGGGCTTTGGTGTCTCAGAGAATAATTACAAAATAAATTGATTTATATAATGAATATAAAACAAACTAATTACTTATATACATATTTTCAATATCTATTTATAATTTTATGAGAGCTGAACGGATAAGAGGTAATTGAACAGGCATTATTTAATGGTGGGAAGGGTATTGGAGCGACGGATGTAGGATGGGATTGAATTCCATAGGGATGTGGATCGAATAATGAAAGATCTATCGAAAGCAGCGGTTCAGCGGAGTTTTGTATACAAACCTGAATACCGGATACGGGTTTTGCGGGAGTGGACAGAGGATTTGAATTGAAGGAGATCGGAGATGTATAAAGGACGGCGGGATTGGATGATTTGGAAGAGGAAGGATGCTAGGAAATAATTAGTCGGTATTAAGGATAAAGCCATTTCATCTCATCAATATACTGGGAAATAGAGGCGTCCCTTGATATCCCGAAGATGAATCGTACAAGGCAATTTATCAAACGTTTCAGTTCGAAATCTCCGGAGACTCCCCCATATACCGACCGTACAGCAATAGTCGAAGTGAGGAAATATTTAGGAAGTAAGAAGGAGTTTACGGGTTTCAAATGGAAATAGGTGAGGGAGGTAATTTAGTCGATTTAAAATGGAAAAGGCGTTGCGGGAAATATCGGACACATGGTGCTTCCAGGAAAGGGTTTGATCAAAGGTTATTTCAAGGTTCTCAACGGTGGGATGGAATTTGAAATGATTATCGTGTAGGAACAGGGTCGTTATGCTAGGAAGAGTTTTAAGGAGATGACGGGAGCCTATCAAAACTGTCTTTGTCTTCTCGACATTCAACTTCAACTTGTTCGCATCCGCCCAGTCAAAGATTATGTTTAAGTCCTATCGATGTTTTTTGGTGGCTGCTAATAGGTCAGAAGGAGGAAAAGACAGGAATATTTGGAAACCATCTGAATAGATATGGTATCGAGAGCTATGGATCAGGAGAGGAAGGTCATTAATGTAAATTGCAAACAGAATAGGAAATATGGAGGAACCCTGAGGGACGCCGCAGAAGAGGTGAAGTGTCATAGAGGGAGGTTGATCTTGAACGACTACACACTGGGATCTATTTGAGAGAAAGGATTTGAACCATCGCAGGACACTTTTGGATAAGGGAAGATGTTGCAGTTTAGTAAGGAGAATGCTGTCATGCGTGTCAAAAGCTTTTGTGGGTAACTGGTGGGTTCTTTTCGTAATATTATACCTGTTGAATAGCTGAGGATCTAACAGATATAAAATATATATGTGACAGTCTGTGGTATTACTTAAATCAAATGATTAACACCCGTCTAAAACTTCTTTAATGGTTTCATGTTATCATAGCCGGCAACTTTTCATTTAATTAAATTAAAAAGTTTATTTAATGGGGTACTAAAATCTTTAGAACACTCATATTCTCTCCAAGTTAATCGTAGGATAATTCGATCATAAAATCGAGGAACAACGAAGTCTAAAAAAAGAATATTGGACCGTGACCTCTACCTTCAACTTGTCAAAATAACGATGTCATATAGGCCAATGTTTTTGTAGGCCACCTTCTCTTTCGTTTTTGTGACAAAATTATCTTAAGATTCAAGGTGAAAGCGAATGATCATACTTGAATATTTAGTACCTGATTAAATTAATGAATTTAATAAAAGGGCTACTTCCTTCTGAGAATTTTAGTGCGTAAAGAGTTGTAGGTTACGATAACAAGAAGCCATTAACGAAGTTTTAGATGGATGTTAACAATTTGTTAAAAATGGGCTCTGTGCCGATTATTTTAAAATAATCAACAAACATTTGAATTTTATAATTTATTTTTTTTCTTTCTTCGGAATCCATTATTACATCAAATGAGGTCTTTATGAAATATATCTTTTCTAAAATCTCAATCTGTATTCAGTTCATGCGGAAAATATTTTATTACATTATATATATATATATATATATATATATATATATATATATATATATATATTGTAACATATTTTATTAGGGCCTTTATAAATTGTAATTGTTAATAGAACTCATGTTCATGTTTTGTTCTTCTATTTTTAACTGTGTGAAAAGGAGCATTTATATGTAATATATTTATAAATTTAATTTATTTCTAGATATTGTATTAATTTTAGTTGTGATTTAATTTGAAATTGTAAAATCAATAATAACATATAACTAGCCATAAGGATTAAAAGGTACGATGTATTGGAGCTAACGGACGGGAGGTCCTTCTCTGTCAAAGGTTGAATTGTAAATGACTAGTGGTATAGTGTTTTGGAGGTTGCGCGTGGCGCCCTCTAGGCGTTGTTCTAATGAACTATTTAATTCATTTATGCAAGTCATTGTTTTTTCTAATAATGATTAATAATTTTTGTAGTGCAACCTGTTAATTTCCTAGTGAACTATGAATTTCATTTAGAAGCTATTTATTATTTCTTTTTGTAATTACTGATTTTGTAAATAACTAATGTTTGTAATATTTTTAAAATGAGTATTCATGTACTATAATTAAATAAAAATAAAAGGAGTTTGGACTTAGAGAGATCTCAGGGCCTAATTAAAATAATTGTTACTAGTGTTGCCTCTCACAGGTCTGAGGGCTCACTATTAGTATAAATAGCAGCCTGGCCCCTAGGGCAGGCACTCTCTCCCGAGTCACTACCTTCTCACATAGGCTCCTGGTATCTCTCTGTCTGACAGTTTGAAACCAGACTAATGTGTTATTTTTTGGTTTTACCTTCCTCCTTCTCTATTCTCTCCTAACCTACCTCCTCTCTCCTTTCGTAGGAATAACTTGGTTGGCCCTTGTTTTCCTACAGTCCCCCTTGCATCTTCCAGGTTGTCCCTGGGAGTGTAGGGTTACCTATCCTCGCAATGTCAGGTGATTGCCTCCTCGGTTGCTGAGCCCTGGATGTGTAGGGGTTGTCCCCCTATCATTCTTGGCGGTCTTACCTTATCCTATCCTCGCAACGTCAGGGGATTGCCTCCTCGGTTGCAGAGCCCTGGATGTGTAGGGGTTGTCCCCCTATCATTCTTGGCGGTCTTACCTCATCCTATCCTCGCAACGTCAGGGGATTGCCTCCTCGGTTGCAGAGCCCTGGATGTGTAGGGGTTGTCCCCCTATCATTCTTGGCGGTCTTACCTTATCCTATCCTCGCAACGTCAGGGGATTGCCTCCTCGGTTGCAGAGCCCTGGATGTGTAGGGGTTGTCCCCCTATCATTCTTGGCGGTCTTACTATCCTATCCTCGCAACGTCAGGGGATTGCCTCCTCGGTTGCAGAGCCCTGGATGTGTAGGGGTTGTCCCCCTATCATTCTTGGCGGTCTTACCTTATCCTATCCTCGCAACGTCAGGGGATTGCCTCCTCGGTTGCAGAGCCCTGGATGTGTAGGGGTTGTCCCCCTATCATTCTTGGCGGTTTTACCTTATTACCTTATCCTTCTCATCCTGTCTAAGCTGGTACACCCCATTATTACAAACTTAAATAGATACACGAATACCAGGTTAATTGACTAACAGAAAGATTAAAGGTTAGAAGGACAGATTTCAGATTTTAAAAGACAAACGTCGGCAATAATAGACAGACAGACAGAGAGATAAATTAAACGTAAAAATAAAAATATTACAATATATATTAGAAATAGAAATAGAAATAGAAATAGTAAAATAATTTTATTCTGGGACGAAGTCCCTTCAGAATAACAAGAAAGTACAGAAATTAAAATTTTATATCTGGCCAGATAAAAACAAACATAAAAAGTTAAGATAACGATAGATCATTAAAAAAAAAAGAAAAAAAAAATTGGTTATACATACTATATACAAAATAAAATAAAAAAATCTACATAAAAACTCTTGAAACCATACTAAGATACTTAAAACTATGTACAGTGTTAAAATATAAATAAACTCTTTTAGAAAAAATAAAAAATACAGAAAAAATAAATTTAAATTCTTCTTAACAGTAAAATCTGTATCTGTTGAAAAAAAAAAGAAAAAAAGAATGTCGAATCTATAATAAGTATTTAGGTTATGAGCTATATGTGAATATGTTATTATAAATAATATGAAATTTTTCATAAAAGGTTAGCTGGTATCTGACTGTTTTGGGGACAGGAATTGGAATAAGAGGGTTTTGAATGTAGGTAAGGATGAAGAATGTCGGATTTTGATAGGAAGGGAATTCCAGAAACTAACAGAACGAGCAATAAAGGAGTTTTGGAACGACGCAGATCTGTGAGAAGGAATGTAAAGGTCGGAAGGTCGAGATCTTGTGGAGAGGGAGGGGACTGAGGACTTGAATTGGAGAAGGTTGTAGGCGTAGGAAAGACGATGATTGTTGATGATATGATAGAGGAATCTACCTAGGAAATATATATATATATGGAGAAGGAAATATTTGAATGGTTGATAATAGACTTGAAGATAAAAAAAGTTCATATAAACAACCATTGTCCACGAATTTTGTCTCAAAGTGTTTCTGTTTCAAAGCTGTGAATTTCCAGACATTCCATATGTTTATGGCTCTCTCTCTCACTCTCTCTCTCTCTCTCTCTATATATATATATATATATATATATATATATATATATATATATATATATATAGAGAGAGAGAGAGAGAGAGAGAGAGAGAGAGAAAGAGAGAGAGAGAGAAACACTTTATTTTCATAAAATATAAAGGATTGCTGCCCAATTATATTGGGTTGCTATATACACAGCATACTCTTCTATCCTTAAGACAATATATGAACTTATATATAAATATACAGAAGTATTAGTTAATATTAGTAAAATAGAAATATATATATATACATTTTTATTATTTTATTTATTTTTATAATTTTTTTTTTTTTCCTTTTTCCTTCTTCTCATTGTTCATGCTTTTTTTTTTTTTTTTTTTATTTAACATTAAGTTTCCCTTTCTCTCACTTCTCTCTCTTTATCGCTATTGTTTTCAATTATTCACTAAATAAATAAATAAACAAATACATAAATTAAAACTCTCGGGCTAGCCATGCACGTGGTGGTGAATGATTCCCAGGGAGTCGAGGACTATATTTTCAGCCAACCTCGCTACGTCCTTAATGTCGACACCTAGTTCCTCGAGGAAGCTCCTTGTTCTTTTTGGGATAGTTCCGCGAGACCCAAACCAGAGGCCTCTCACGGTGAACTCTCTCTCTCCGAAGGTCTCACGGAATTTCTCTTTTAGGAAAGGGATACATTTATCGTACGTGTTCTTCTTTTCCCTTTCCACTTCACCCGCCTGATCGAGGTCATTGCTCTCAAAGCGGACAGTTGGATCCAAGATCAGCGCTGTCCTTCCTGTCTTGGGAAATGCGACGATATCAGCGTATCTCGTAGAGCCTTCACTATCGATGCAATATACCTCGTCAAAGCAGGTGAATTTTTTTTCCCTAAGGAGCCTCATCAACTCGAACTTGACCCGGTGGTGACGACGTGTTATGAGGAGGGAGTTGTTGGGGCATTTTCCCAGCACATGTGCTGGTGTTTCAGACTCTCTGCCGCATTTACGGCAGAGGGACCCAACTTCTCTGACCTGTCCGCTGACTCCTGGGACTCCACGCAGGGGTGCATAATTAATGTTTAGTTTTAGGGCATTCGACCATTCAGACCCAGAAAGTACTTGCTTTTCGTAGATGTATCTATTCGCTTTCGGGGTCTCTTTAAAATGGCGAACACCAATACCCTGCCACCTGCAGTTGGCCCATTCCTCAAATGCATTTTCTCGTAGCGACTGCCGTAGAGCTTTCACATTTCGATGACCCTGATCAACCCCCAATCTCTCGGCACATTCAGCAATTTCAGCCGAATAATCGAAGGTAGACTGAAAAAGGGCATCTGGTACATTGGACAGTCGCTGAGCAATGGACCAATGTTGAAGAGGAGCCTCCCATTGGCAGCGGATTAATCCCAATCCTCGGTATCTCCTGGGGGCATACAACATCGCTGTGGAAGTATTCGCAGGGAGTCCAATAATGGCCTTTACGCTCCTGCGAATCATAGTGTCGATGCCCTCCAGTATAGCAGGACGTAGCTTTGTTAGGGGCGCAGTTTGGAGAGGGTAAGTAAGACCCGGGAACAGATATTGATTGACAATGTTGAGTTTCTGCTCAGGTTTAAGTAAGCAAGAGGTTACCAGCTTGTTTAGATTATCATTCAATTTAGTCACCGAATCTTCGTTGAATTGCAGCTCTCCCGAGAATGTACATCCTAAATACTTAATCGTATCTCCATTCTTCAATGTTTGGATGTACTCACCATTCTCAAGGGAGAGCACCGTAGTTTCCAGCTCTCCTTTATTTATAACGATGCCCATACTTTTTTGAGGATCTTTGTGTGCTGTCAATCACTCTTTCTGCAGCCCCCTTGTCACGCGCCGACACTGCCTGGTCATCCGCGAAACCTGTGAGGACCACACAATCCTGCTCATTCCTTAATTTGTATCCAAATTTCTTGGAAAAGTCCTCGTCACACAGGTCGCGGTAGAGATGATCGATGGCCAGGTTGAAGAGTGAAGACGACAGGGGGCCGCCTTGGGGTACACCGCGCAGCACTTTGATCTGGCTAGTTGCATGGATACCGTTGCCAATCTTTATGGTGTTCGTGCTAAGGAGAGCTGATATGACATTTGTAAGATTCGGTGACACACCTCTCGCTTCTAAGGAGCTTACGATGTGTTTGTGCTCAACATTGTCAAAAGGACCGACAACGTCGAGGAAAACTATCGCATAGTCATTTTTCATTTTTTGTGCATCTTTTAATACCGCGTCGATGATCCTCGCGTTGACGTGCGTTCCCGGGAGGCCTTTTATAAAGCCTCTCTGACTCTTGTGGAAGGTGACCTGCTTTCTTAACTCGTAGTCCAGAACCTTCTCTATGATTCGGCGCACAATCGAGTATATGGTGATCGGTCTCCAGGTAGAGATATTGTTTATATCACCTTTGCCCTTATATATCAATATTGTGCGCCCTTTTCGAAGTGGTTCCGGAACATAGGCCACCTTCAGCATTATCTCTGCAATCGTTTTAATAATGCTTGATACGTCAAAATATTTTATTGTGCGGATCAGAACTCCATCAGGCCCCGGCGATGTGTCCATTGATGTTGATTTAATGGCTTTCCTGATAGCTTCTATCTCAATGGACAGCAAATCCGGCATCGGGGCACACTGTTCGTAATCCGCACGCCCGCAGAGATTTTCGTTCTCAAAGAGGTCTTTATAATGCCTCTCGATTTCGGCCATTTTTAGAGGACACCGTTTAGGAGCGTCTGCATTCATTACAGTTTGCACAACCTTTTTTCTTTTATTATAATAATTATATTGGGCAACCTCGTACTGATACTGCTCTTGCCGACGACTCCTGTCTACTTTGTTTGCCCTCTGCGGATTTGAGACTTGTCCAGCACCCTTGTCAGCCATTTTCATTTTATTTTTTTTCCTCATCCTATAAAATTTTACGGCTGGGTGCTGGGGACCTGGCAGTTCCGCATTGATGACTTTGAGGAACTTTAGAAACTTGCCTACGGCCTCATCAAAATCCGCAGTATTCACCATATCTTGCTTTAAAAGGTTCTTGAACGTAGTAGACCATTCAACAATGTCCTCTTTTATTTTTGATGACTCACCCTCTCCATTTCTAGGACCTATCACGTTCTTTACTATGCCCCTCAATGTATTATTATTCGCCTCCCTGGGATGTTTTTTTGCAATGTGGGTTCCGAGACCTCGTTCGCCCTTAAAAGAAAGCCCGCATATCAGACAAACTTTATCATCAGGGCGTAGAGCTTCATTTTGCCGCTCACTAAGTACCTCTGCGACATTCAGCGGATCATTTGGCAATCTGGGAATGACATCATCTATCGACACCGTCTTTCCCAATACCACACCTTGTGTGTCAGGCCATTCTACTTTAACAAATTTATTATCTCCGCCTCCTGCAGTAGCCACAGACATCACAGAGGCAACAACCGCCTCTTGAACAGGTCCTCCAGTTCTCAGAACCCATACCTTTTGTCCAACTTCGATCTTCTTCGTTGGTATTTTGTTCATTGCAATATTTTTTTTTTCGTTCTAGACTATGCCCACCACGCGCATGATTGAAACAATCTGTGCATAATTAAATAAATAAATAAATACAAAGTTAAAAACTATAAAATTAAGTGTTAAATAGTGCTATAGTTAAAATATAAAATCGATAAAAGCTTAAAAAAATATACATCTATCAAATAAATTGCTTATAAATAAGTTACAATATAAAATCAGTAAAAAGTTTAAAGTTAAAATTTAAGTACAAGTTAAAAATAAGTGAAAGTTAAAATCTAAAATTATAATTATATATATATATATATATATATATATATATATAT